TCGATGTAGTTGTGAAGTTACACCGATTGAAATGGTTAGGACATGTGTTACGTATGCCTAGCCTAACCATCTATCGCCTACCTCGACAACAAGCAATGTTAGCGGACATAGGGTTGATCAGGTTAGAAAAGAGTCACCTAATGGTGGTCAAGTCAAAACATAGCTTCAACAGTCAATAAAATCTACAACAGTTAGTTTAAGCCAGCCGCCACTTAGGGAGGTGTAGAGTGGTTGGGATCCTCGGGAAGGTAAAAACCAATGAATGCTGGAGACGATTAGTAGTGATATGGCTAAAATCGTTGTTGGGGGGGGGGCTGGCACAGATGCATTCACTACTTGTGATTCATTATATCCAATAAAATTCTGTTGTTCCTCTACATTACAATTCTTTTTCCCTCACTCACATTTCTATTTATTATCTGTTTTTACTTTCTTCTCTTGATTTGTGTGCTACAAGGCGGGAGAGTGTGGCAACTCGAAATGCTGCACATCTGTGTATTTCAATCTCTACATTGTAACCAGTCAGTCAGTCACAATTTGTTGATAACTTCTGGTAATTAACTGCTTTGAATTTTAATTAGCTATGCTCATTCCACCTATACAATAGACAATAACAATCATTCATTATAGATAAGATTTTATTTTGATAAATCGCACAGTGTTTACAGTTATATGAACTGATGACGTTTCGAGCACAAACTATTGCTCATAATCATATCAAGTTGATATACCAACTTGATATGATTATGAGCAATAGTTTGTGCTCGAAACGTCATCAGTTCATATAACTGTAAACACTGTGCGATTTATCAAAATAAAATCTTATCTATAATGAATGGAATAACAATCAGTTTTCTTGTGTGCGTGTGTGTGTGCTATGGTTTGACAGAGAATAGAAATACTAAAGTGCTATAACAATATTGGTGTATAGGATTATAAGTCACAAACTGATTAGATATATGAATGAATAACTAAATAAATAGATGGACGTCAACCTAGAATTCATTAGACATGTGTGATATAGATAGATGACAGAGCAAAATAAAATACATTCGTAAATGTGAATATGTAAGAATATACTAGGATGGAAACGATATAGGATGAGTGAAATGTTGTCAAAGTAGTAGATTAGATAAAATGTTTACAATTGGTGGATGGTGGCTAGCAGTGGAATCCAGGATGTGCATTTCGTCCTATTTGGGACTCATCAGCTGGATGTACCTGCATTTCTCAGTGAGTGATGACTTTCCCACCGAGGCTCGAACCCAGTACCCATAGTTTCGAACGCCAAAGCGTTATCCACTAGACCACTTAGGCCACGAGAGCCACCTCTTGTGCAACAGGTCATATATTAATTATTGAATTGAATTTTTGATTTTCCCGTCGATTGATTGGACCGAAGTGCTCGGTCTCAGATTGACATGTCGGCTTCTTGTGCAGATGCTTCGACGATGTCTGGATACATCCAGCTGACGAGTCCCAAATAGGACGAAATGCGCATCCTGGATTCCACTGCTAGCCACCATCCACCAATTGTATACTAATTAAATACCCAGACATCGTTGAAGCATCTGCACAAGAAGCCGACATGTCAACCTGAGACCGAGCACTTCGGTTCAATCAATCGACGGGAAAATCAAAAATTCGATTCAATAGATAAAATGTTACTATATGATAACATAAAGTGAAGTGAAATAAAGCAAAATGGAACACGAAATAAAGAAGGATAACAAAGTTGTTATGTGAATTACACAGTAAAATCAAGACCATGGAGTGGTAACGAAAGAGATCGTGCAAATTGTTTTTGTACACAAAATTCTGGCTTTATGTGTTATGTATTCCTGAAGCCCCTGCTATACAAAGCGAATGCATTCGTATCCCTTTCGGCGAACTTTGTAGACTATACTGAACGATGTCTCAGTTGCTGCGTTGTCAATATCTATAATACGTTGCAATATCAATGAATTAATACCTCTACGTTTTCTTTTACTTAGCCAAACTAGGAGGTGCTGTTAAACATGGGGGTGGGATATGTTTCTTGACGAACGTCCTACGTACCTAGCTCCTCATAAGCTGGTGAACATATAAATACACATGGAATTAGATGATCGAGGTAACATTTCCTTGACATTCCTTGAACTAGTGGACGGCTAGAATAGGTGATTCGTAAAGTGCCAGCAGAGAACGTTTTTCTCAGTTATCTGGTCAGATGATTTTTAAGTGTCTCATTCGCAGTGCCACCTCTGAATTCTAAGTTTTGGTGAAACACTTTTTTTTTTAGCTACCTTATCAATCTCTGTATTCCTTCCACATACGTTGCTATTGGCTTCTACGAAGCGTATTGGATACCCGTTCTCTATGAAGGTTTCTTTTAGTTGTTTGAGTTCATTATCGACACTTTCTTCACTCCGAATTCTCCACACCCGTGTTGAGAGAGAGAGAGAGAACGGATTAGATTCCTTTTTTATGTCTATGTGGAAAAAACTGTAAAAATTGGTCAGTTTTCCCGTCCACGTTGATTTTCCGTAAATAGATGTTTTCAAAGACCCTTCAACTCTCCTTGTGAGTAGCACTTCAAAGAGAGATATTTTTCCTTCGGTTTCTTTTCCTAAGGTGAACTGGATAGTTGGATGACTGTCATTGAATGCTTTCAGGATGTCTCTCTCTCTCTCATTTTCGCTTCATTGCAAAAACAGTACTAATGATAGAACAAGGAATTTTCAGCATTCAGTACAATATTGCATCTAATTTACTCAAAAAAGACAAAAAATAAATAAATATTACATAATAATAACACTAACAAAACGTTGTGATAGCCGCTATGTAGCAAATTACAGTATGCGATAGGAAGAAAAATATGCATAAAGTATAAAATTATAGTAATAATACTAATAACAACTAAAATAAAATAGCAAAGTTATAATTAAACGATAGAAAGGTTGACACCATAAAATTACAGAAAGATGAACAATGAAAGGGTGGATTCACTTTGCTAATTACATAGTAACACTTATATGTTTCACGTCTAACAGTATCTCCATCACATAAAATACGGTATTGTAGAATTTCTGTACTTAGTGGTACGAGCATATATCTTTTTATATTGACTTCTCGTCCTTCCTGATGAGATGCAAGGGGATTGTTGTGAATAAAGGGGGTGCAGAGGGTCTGACAGTAGGGCCTTTGTCCATTTTGTACGGGAATTTATGTGTCTCTCGACTATGATATTGGCGAGCTCACACAGTGACATACCACAAGTCCTACTCACAGCATTTAAAACCCTTCGTATTATGATATGATAGTCTTTTTTGAGAAGCCCAGGAAAGCATTAAAGGAGAGCAATAGAGTACAATTACATAATAAAATCAAGACCATGGAGTGGTAACGAAAGAGATGGTACAAACTGTTTTTGTATTTATATTTGCTTTGTATAGCAGGGGCTTCAGGAATACATAACACATAAAGCCAGAAATTTGTGTACAAAAACAATTTGCACAATCTTTTTCGTTACCACTCCATGGTCTTGATTTTACTGTGTAATTCACATAACAACTTTGTTATCCTTCTTTATTTCGTGTTCCATTTTGCTTTATTTCACTTCACTTTATGTTATCATATAGTAACATTTTATCTAGTCTACTACTTTGACAACATTTCACTCATCCTATGTCGTTTCCATCATAGTATATTCTTACATATTCACATTTCCGAATGTATTTTATTTTGCTCTGTCATCTATCTATATCACACATGTCTAATGAACTTTAAGTTGACCCCTACTTATTAAAAACAATTAGTTCCCTTTATGAATTTGGACAAGGCGATAAGAAGACATAATTTGTCTGAATCGTGTAATCTGCATTTGCGCAACACAATCTGATCACACAAGGACTTGTCATAGGGGTATTAATGAAATTATAAGATTTTGATTGTGTGAAATGTTCCTCCCATATCGTAAATTAAAAGTCAACTAGGCATATACCATTTCAGCTGTTCTTGTGGTTCAAGTTATATAGGATGCACGATTAGGCAGGTTCGTCTACGGGTTTGAGAACACTTACCAGCTTGGTTCACCTAGGGGGGGGGCGAAATTAAATGCATAAAAAGGCCCATCCTGTCATACTTGGTCGATACTCGACATAGCATCGACGTCAACACATAATTCCGGAGTCGTTATCACGTACAGTTCGTTTACATTTCCTACACATAACTAAAGCTGCTGCAGTAAGATCGACTAGACCGGGACTTTGTATCCAAAATGAACATGTCCAGACTCTGTTCCTACCGTGACCAAACTTGGATTGATGATTCTTCTTCTCACCAAGAGTGCCTTCTCCTCTTATCTTCCTTTTCTTTGCTTATTATTACAATTATTATTATTCATCATAATTTATACCCTCCATTTAAACATTCTCATTAATATCGAATTCTCCATTTATACTATCCCGACTTATTATTAGTGATATTATCTCTTTTCTTAATACATGCCTCCACCTGTTTCATTTCGCACATTCATTATTTCATGACGAATGAACCTCTCATTGCAGTCTTACTATCTCCTGTTTAACACAGACCACTTTGTACTAGCCACTCCACTCATCTAACACCTTTTATAACCTTGAACAAACTGACTTGCCTACCCCACACTCTACGAATGAATCTATTATGACGACTGATCGCCACGACAGTGTCTCCCAATTCACCGAAATATTTTGTAATCGATTTCGGCCTAGCACGTTTGTCACACAAATACGACTATTTATTTTGGCACCCCATAACTAATCTGTTATTCTACGTTAAAAAATAAATCCGCTGCATAACTGACCATTATTGTACCGACAGCAAATACTATATATACTATAATTGTAAGAACCTGAAGAGGAGAAATTATTGGAAAGATTATCCTTCGTTCAGATTGACTTTTAATATATGAAATTAATAAACAGTTAACAGCTGAGAAAATATACTTATATCAAGTTAAAAAGACATATTCAAGGTCAAGATAACAATGAAGATCACTAAACGAAAGAAGGGAGGGAGGTAATAGTACATAGTAGTGCCCTGGCTGGTGGCATCAAAACAAAGTTTACCAAGGAAGGTTTAGTATGATAATGAATTGTTGCTTCGACAAACGCATAGAGATGGTTTAAACTTCCTAATTGCCAGTTAGGGCTTCCACAAACTTTAGGATACGCCATCCCACAAAGACGTTTTATGGATGGATAGGTTTAAAAGACATATAAACAGTAATGTTGTGTCCTGTTTCTACAATATTCATCAAAATATCTAATCTACTGTGAGTCATAATCCTATACACCAATATTATCGCACTTTATTATTTCCACTCACTGTCAAACTTTAACACACTCACATATACACACAATAAAAGTGATTGTTATCGTCTATTGTAATTCCTATACAGTTATGAAATCGTCGAAAGAGAACTTTCTTCACTGAATTCTTTGTTTTTATGTCTTAATGGCAACAAACGCCGACAACTCTCTGAAAAGGTCTATATACAAAAAGCCTACATGGAATGGACAATTCATCAACTTTCAAAGCTTCGTGCCCCTAAACAGAAATAGGAATCTTATATACGCTCTCGCCTCGAGGATTCGGAGGATATAAAGCGAGAAAGTGATTGACGAAAAATTGCGTAATCTCCGAGGTACTTTGATGGAAAATAGAATTAAGAAATAGATTTTTATATATATGTATATATATTCCTTTCACAATAGCAATAATTTAATAAATTAAGAGAACCATTTCACCACACTGATGATCACCTCTAAATGATGAAAATTTAATTGAGACAACAAAAACAAAGACACACAGAAAAACAACGGAGAAATCAGACAAAAAAGGAAGGTAGATAAAAAAATATATAAATGCATTGAGAATATATATGTATGTATTGCACAGACATGAAAGATGATGAGCTTCCTTATTTACTTTTTTGGTGTAAGCGGAGAAAACTTCGATAGTTTGCATTGCTTTCACTACTGGTAACTATTACACATAAGAGAAAGGGTGTTAAAAAGAAAAAAACAAAAACAAGGAAGTGTGTAGTTCATAAAAATGAATTAAAATATTATCTAGTCTTGTTGCCACTATTACTACTATTATTATTTCTATTAGTAGTGGTTGTAGTAGTAGAAACAGGTGGTCGGCGTTTTGATCTTTTATTCGTCTTCATTGCATCATCTGCATCTCTAATTGTCACGTCGAAATACCATGCAACACCAAAGGCTACAACAAAAGAGACGACAACAAGGCAAGCGAAAAAGATGTAGAATGTCTCCTCGTCAAAGATATCTGTAAATGCCGGCAGGACAGATGAAGCTCTTGAAACTAATTCAGTTGCTACTGACCTTTTCTTTTTCATAATGTTACATTCATTTAAAAGATGAGACTAGATTTGAGAACACACACACACACACACGTGCACAACACTACACCGTCAGCCTTTATCGAGGGATTAAAACGAGACAATCTAAAAGGAGAAAAAAGAATTACAATGAATTAATTATATAGTCCATTTATTATTTTACGTTTGTTCATTCCTTTTTTACATCCAGAATTATAGTCAAGGTTGTTAACAGATATATCGAGTGGTTAGTCACACACCCCTGTTGACCACTTATTTGGGAAGCTACATCAGCCCCAAAGGATTGGTCGCTGACGAAATCTCACCACGGATACAGAGGATTAAGACCATCTCTAGCTTAGTAGACGTGACATCCGGCTGGCTATCGATCAAAGGACGTGTAGTGTGTACTGCTAAGCAGTTCGCTTCGTCCTTCTTTACGCCTAGCTGTAAGACATGGCCATTGAAAGTGGAAGATATGAAAAGGCCAACTAGCTATTTTCGATCATAGGTAGGTGTCTGCGTTCTATCTCCCATGTGAAGTGTTATAATAGGGTGAGCAATATTCAGGTTAGGAGTCCAATGAGTTTTAGGTAAGGAGGGGAAATCAATACATGAAGCTGTGAATTGACATCGACTGTGATGGTTAGGACATATGTTAGGCATACATGTCTAGCCATCGCCTTCTTCGACAATAGGCAATGTTACCTAACTTAGGATTGATCAGGTTGGAAAAGAGCCAATGGTGGTCAAACCAAAATATGGCTTCATCAGTCAATGAAATCCACATTAGTTAGTTAAAGCCACGTAGGAAGGTTTAGACTTCCTGACTGGTTGGGGTCTTCGGGACGGTAAAAACCAATGAAGGCTGGAGACAGTTGGTGATATGGCACAAAATTGTTCTTAATGGTAAACGCAGATGCGTCCACTCCTTGTGACTTATAATGCCCAATGAAACCACACTGTTCTTCGATATTAGTATCCTTTCACCTTCTTCTTTTTCTTTGCGTGCTACATGGAGTTGAGTGTGACAACTCGAACTAATGGACATCGGCGCAAAGTTCTATGTTGAAACCAGTCACCCCCCTGTGACATTCAAGCTAACATGGATTCTATTATTAGCCTCTATTTCCATTAGTTCGCATTTTGAATATCTAAATACAAATGTTGTCCCAATCAATGGTATGCCCCTCATTCCACGAATGTGCATCAGCTACAGATGAGTTATTCTCGAAACTACTGTACTCGCATGTAATCCTGTGTGCCTTGACATTTAAACAGTTAAACGATTATGTTCGTTCACTCTTACTTTGAGTAATCTACACACATGTGACTCCATATGTCGGTAATTCAGCCGTAGAATACTCAGAAACACAGGTGATGCGAGGTTTGATCTCCGACCGATGCAATCATAAGCCCCGTTGAATGAAGGGTTGAACATAAGGCTACAAAAACACCACTCAGTTGAAATATAAAACAAATGATAGTTTAGAACGGTAACCACTGATATGTCCTGGGTTTCAAGTCATGAGTGTTAGGCATAATAAGAGGACTAATATTATTAGTTAAGTGATTATATATTCAGTGCATCACCTACTAAAAGTTTTATGCCTGATTCATGCAAAGACACTAAGATTGTTCTCCTGCCAAAATAATCAAGTGATGAATTATGCGGCGTTAGCCTTTAGTATATTGCTATTACCTTTCTGTTTCTTGAAAATAGTGGAAAAGTAGCTCTTACTTAACCTGAAACGTTAACTGAAGGCTTTTAACGGCGCAAAAATTCATTTAAAAACATGTTAGACGTAGGTACTCATTTCGTGAAGAAAAAACTGTCCCTAACCGAAATTGTCATTATGTTATCAGTTCACCATTACAACTGGGATTTGAGGAGACCAACCAGTAGCTACAACACTAAAAAAAACTAGAGACAGACAGAAAATATTCAGGTATCTGCCGTGCAGTAGTTTCAACCTCCGCAGCACAACATACGGAAGCGATATGCCTGGCAAAAAAAACAGTACAAGAAAGATGCTTACGAAACCTACCGTAAGAAGGAGAATATGGCGCCCTCGGATAAACCTCCAGAAACACGGTAAATCCTTCTCCATCCATTTTCATGCCATGGCTCTCCTTTGAGGCTAGTCAGTGATAACATTAGGGCTAACCTCTAGGGTGGCCTTAGCTGAGTTTAAGTAGGAACAAGAATTAAAATTCCTTCATTTTCAGGCCAAATAGGAGGCAGAGATGCACCACCTAGCTGGTTTGCATTTTTAGACAGCCGTTCACATCATACGACTTCCAAGGTTGTCCTCATAAAGAGTAAAGATTACTATCACTATGGCTAATGGAAGCAAAGTGGCACTGGCGACACCCTGAGCGCGTACCTCTGACTGAACACGATGGTTGTGAAGTCTTGGTGCTTATCGGATGTTATGTGCCTGATGCCTATAGGGTTTTGGATCAAAGGCTTGGAGGGAAACAAAGTTTATAAGCCATCAGAACCCTACTTGGTTTAGTCCTGTTTGGACCGATGGATTACAAAAGATTCTGCCCAACCCGTTGCGAATTTCATCTCTCACAGTCACAAAGTGAGATGTCTCTTTCACGTTGGTTTCACAACAGTCGTGACAGATAGAAGGCAAGAATAAGAAAACGACAATATTCCCCTTTGGTGGAGTTATTTAAAACCTAGTTTCAGATCACCGTCGACCAGAAGGACGAGAACTGGCCAGACGCAGGAAGTACACGGATGAATGCTCTTGGTGATTTATATGGTGTTGCACTCTTCGTATGCTATCATGTGTCTAAACATTGTAGTCATGAAAATCAAATATATGTTTCATTAAATTCCACTGCTTTCTTACATTGTAAGCCTTTGAGATGATGCCAGTATATTGTTTGTTGCGACAATTTGAGTACATAGTAGATTTGCATTTATGTTGGTTATCGACTAAGGGTTCAATGTTTAACTGTAGGCGTTTAATTTAAGCTTATAGTCAGTTGCAGAAACTTAAGGCGCCTTGCAAAATGACTGGGGCAGACTTCCGGCACACTGCAGAATTGTTAGAGCCGACTGCAGATAACTGTCCCACGTTCTGTAGTGCGCCTGAAGAAAATGAGAGCTGAAGGGTTGAGAGTGGAAGATGTGTAATCTGAGAAAGGATACCAATCATACTTAGCACTTTTTTCAAGAGAGAAGATATGATGATGTAAGGCATCTAAAGTTTGTCTACCATGTTTGTAAGTAAACTTTTTGCTTCGTTAATAGGCGACAGTGGACATTCAGGGTTAAGTAAGGACTACTTTTCCATTGTTTTCAAGAAACACAGAGGTAATAGCAATAGACTTGAGACTGACGCCGCATAATTCACTTCTTATCTTGGCAGAGAAACAATTTTAATGTCCTTCCAAGAGACGGGCACAAAATTTGTGGCAGGCGATGCACTGAATATATAACCACTTAACTGGTATTAAGCATAATTCTGTGATCAACGTCCACTATTTGAAACCCAGAACATATCATGGATTTTTGGGTGAAAAAGGTTAATTTCATGATCGTGATAAGGATCTTTATCACCATGTTCCCACTCGTTATCTGACTGTATTGGCCACATTTGCCACGCTGTACATTTCTCTCCTGTCTACTAGTTAGCTTTGAAAGATAGAATACCTTTAAGCATAGTATGGAAACCGCATAGCAACCACACGTCAAACAAGTCTAACAACTTACCAAAGTTCGACGACCGCAAGGTCAAATGTCGTAAAGGCCGCGTAACTCACAAAATATGTCCAATACCAAGGTCTAATATCCAATATCGTTTTTACGAGCTAGTATAAACCATTTGGATTTCTTTGTGCTCGCTTCTTGATTGTAAGGTATAGGTTGCTGATCTTCGGTAAACTTCTGCGTAGCTCGTCACGCCACTCAACTGTAGTAATTAATTTTCGTTGACTCCATAAGGAGTAGTGCTGAAATTAATTATATGTGCTGTGTAGTATGAGGTGTGTTAAGACTGTTACTACTTCGCATTTAAAAATCCCTGTTGATCTCTGGAGAATTTGGTATTTCATCCTTCAAAATCTGAACATTTTCCGGGAGGAAGATGCATTGGGATCACTGGTCTATAAGATAAATTTAATTTTAATTATTTTTAATTATAACAGCTTTATTCCAAACAGTATTTGTGGTACAGGTATGGAATTTTCAGCGTGCATTACAGTATATTGCATCTAATTACCTCATAAATTATATAAGATTTTAAAAATCAAAAGATACGTAAATAAATAAGAATAGAATAAATAAATAATAAATAAATAAAAATAAAATAACAGCGTAGAGTTTACATTTCAAACAATGCACCACAGGATATGAAATATAAAGTTGATGTGTGATAGAAGATGAGAACAACAGTGTATTAGTAACGAAGAAAGTACCATGAACACTTATGTTTTGCATCTGCTTCCAAGTTTATGACCGTTCATACTGATAGAAGTGGTGGCTGGTACTCCACGGCGAATCACAAACTTTAAACACGCTGCTCTGCGTCAAATGGGAATATAAAGTGATGTTTTCGCTTCACAAACATAAGTGTGAAAAATCCTATGCTTGCATTTTATGTTATTTCATAAAGAATATTATCATGCCCTCAAAACGACATGCAAATCCATCTTATTATTTATATATCGTTTTTTCAAAATAAACGTTGTTGCTGCTATTACACTTAAGTCTTAGACACAAAAGCTGCCGACTCTTCAGACAGAACCTCCTCTACTTGATACCTAGGCTTCCCCTGATATCGTGTCGATTCTTTTCCGTTGTCTTACACTTTTTCAAAGAGGCAAGGTAGTATTCCAATATCCAGTTTCGTTTCTATGAGCCAGTGTAAACTAATTTGATTCCTTTTTGCTCACTTCTTGGTTGTGAGGTAAAGGTTCCTGGTCTTCGGTAAACTTCTGCGTAGTTCGTCCCGCCATCCGACTGTAGTTGTTAGTTTTGGTTGACTCCAAAAAGAATTGGTGCTGGGATTAATTATATGTTGTTTGTAGTATGCAGTGTCCCAACATCGTGTTGCTACTGTGGATGGAGTTGATCCTTTCACCAATTAGTCCTCCTGTGCCGTCAACAGAAGAAAAAAGATAATAATAACATATGTTGTTGGTGTAGTTTAAGCAAAATAAAAGACAGAAAAGCAAAAAAGACAGCTAATGATTTTTGAAGCTGACACATACATAATAATAATAATAGCGTAAGGGACGTAGTACTTGAAGTAGTCAGGGGAGTAAAGCAGGGGAAATGTGAAGAAGTAAAACAATGGGTTCAGATTCGTGCCCAGTAATAGTGTCTGAGATTTTAGGGGAATGGGCCATTTGAACGTAGTACTTGTGTCGCTGCCTGATTTTCCAGCCTTCGTTTAAAGCTGTCTCCAGATGCTACCATAGCTACATCTGCCGGCGAAGAGATTCAGGGACAGCAAACTCTCTAGTCTAGTGTTTGCCCTCTGGTGAGCGGTCCTTGTGAGATTTCCACGAGGAACCCCTCAGGTAATCAGTGGCAGAACATATTTGTTTGGGTAATTCTGGTCATTTGATACCTTATAGGCAGTAATCAGTTCCTCCCTAAGCCGACGGTAGCTAGATGTGAAGAAACTTTATTTCTTTAGCCTTACATCATATGGTTTGTTTCGGAGACCCATCATTATTTTTTGTCGCCAACCTCTGAACTCTTTTCAAAAGGCTTGAGTTTCCTCTAAGCAGTGGGGGTGCAGTGATATAGTGCACTTGGAGGCTTGGTTGTGTGCGTGTTTTGTACAACCTTCTAAACAGCTCAAGAGTGAGTGCACCTAATTGTCTGTGTGTAAATTGTATGACCGAATATGCCCTCGCTACATCCCTAGTATAATTCATGCTTGTTTCCATTTTTTCCTTTAGAACTAAACCTGAGTCACGTTGCGACGTTGTGCTGGACAAGCTTTCGTTGCATACGGCGTAATTTGCATTCCGTAGCATATAGGTGCGTAATTTTCCTGCTTTGCACTTTTTACGTTCAAAGTCATATCACCAACCTTCGTCCAGTCTTCCAGAAGCTTTAGATCTGCCTGCAGATTATCTGAGTCTTTCGAACACTTTATTACCCTCCATATCTTTACGTCGTTGGCGTATATAATGGCCAAACAGCTTAGACGGCATGGTAGGGCAATGATAAAAATCAAAAACATCAGTGGTCATAGGATAGAACCCTCTGACTCTCCTGGTGACGAGCGGCGCGAATTCCTTTAATTCCTAGAGGAACATACAGCTCCAGACAAACGTCTCCATTGCCTTCGACTTTCTGCCGACCTTTTCACCCTACCTCATGTCTCTGCATATGCTTTCATCTCCTCTCTACATGACCTCCTCCAAGTCACCCTCACGCTGACGACAAACTCGCCGCTTCCCTTTTGGGTTCCACTCGAGCAATGGCTTGTCTAGTGATGTCACTTGATGGTTTCCTCGGAGTATAGCCAATCCACCTCTATTTCTTCCTGCTTATTTGTTG